GCATGTGAGTTAAACATTTACCTCAAGTAGACACATGCCCTGGAGAGAACAATCATGGGAGAAGGAAGGGCTGCTTATGCACAGGGAGACAGCTCAGGGTGCAGGAGAGTATGGAGGGATGGACATGGGTAAGAGGTAACTATGGGGAGGAAGTGGGAGGGGAGCTGTTGCATTGTAAACTGTGGTCAATGACATGAGAACAAGTATATGTGAACTGCTGTATGGAAAGTGAATTCGCTCTGTAAATCTCCACCCAAATCACAATAAATAAAATAAAATATTAAAAAAAAACCCAAAAACCTTTCCATACTCACTGCCACCCACCACGTATTTATACATCTGGCTGCATTGATCCACCTATACAAACAAGCCTGGCTAAACCAACACTGACTACCATCTAGTTGACTCTGACTCTTGGCAACCCTGAAGGACTGAGTTTACAGAATCAGATTGCCTTATTTTTCTCCTGCAGAGTGACTGGTGGATTTAAACTACCAGCCTTTTGGTTAGCAGCCTAATGCTTTAACCACTGTGCCTCCAGACCTTCTTGACAAACCTGGCTGTTGTTGGCGTTACATGCCGTCAAGTGGGCCCTGATTGATAGCGACCCCTCCTTGGGTTTCCAAGGTGGTATCACTACGGAAGTAGATTGCCCCATCTTCCCTCTGAGGAGTGGCTGGTGGGTTTGAACCGCCAGCCTTCTGGTTAGCAGTCAAGTGCCTTAGGCACTATGCTACGAGAGCTCCTACAAGCCTGGCTAGGCAAACAAAAAAAGGATGCAAAGCATGGGTGGGGTTTCTTAGTAGGCATGCCCCTTGGAATGGAGAGGCATTTAAGAAAAGGTAGGTCAGAGTATGAAGAAATTACATGAATCAATCAAAATCATTTGAATTATCATCCAGATTATTCTCTATTTCAGTGTGAGTAGGGACAGGGATTCCCGGAAGAAAGATGGGGCAATCTACTTCCGTTGTGATACTGCCTTGGAAACCCAAGAAGGGGTCGCTATGAGTCGGGTCCGACTCGACGGCACGTAACAACAACAACAACAGGGACAGGGATTAAGTGTCTTTTATCTACATTTCTCTATCAAATGATGAAAATTTCAGGGCCAAAAGAATTGAAAGCAATTGTTTATGTAATATTACATGGTTTTAAAAAATGAAGTGACTTTCTTATCTTAATTGGGGGAATCTCACATTAAAGCATATAATGTCCAAGAAAACTGCGAATTCTTAATCATGTATTATTTTAATAGCGTTGTGAAGAGCGAGTTGAGAAAGAATTTCTGGGATCATTATCATCGTCATCATCGACAGAAGACAACTTTGAGGAGGAAGAACAAGTGAAACAAGAAATACACACTACTCCAGAATAATGCATACAACTCACTTTAATTGTAGCACAGTATGTTTAATTCAAGTACAATTTGTGAAAAGAGGTCAGAATTAATTGTGCATTTTACTATCCATCTTTTAAAATATTCAAATCAATAAATCTCAATAAATCATCCTTAAAGATCTATCCAAGCATAATCTTGGCTCTTATTGGTAGGAAATATATTTTAAGATGGAAAAATAATCATTATGAAGCATAGAGAGCTTTCAACCATTTCTTAGGAAGTACATCTTGATAATAGCAACCATTCATCATAATACAAAACAGAAAGAGGATTAAATTACTGTGGCATAGGAAGCCCTGCCAGTTCCTAAACACCCTACATAGTTTCTCTGGGATGTTTTGCATTGTTTAGGCCTCAAGTAAAACCAAAGCCCCACCTCCAGGTTTTGTAGCAAACAAACTCTGCTTCTCTGGTCCTGAGCTTCGGGCACTCCTCTGGTAATAAGCTTCCTGCACATTTGCTAGGAAGCTGGACAGCTTGTCAGCAGGTACTATCGATACTGTGCAGCCTCCCCATCCTGCTCCGGTAAGTCGAGATCCTTGAGCCCCAAACCTCCTAAAACAATGAGGAAAAAAATATCAGAACCTATAAATGAAAACGAGAGTGACTTGCCTTGTGCTTATAGAACACAAAGCCTACTCAACTTTTAAGGAAAGAATATGTGTTTTGATGTTGTCAAACACGTTGTTGTTGTTGTTATGTGCCGTCAAGTCGGCCCCACTCATAGCGACCCCTCCTTGGGTTTCCGAGGCAGTATCACTACGGAAGTAGATTGCCCCATCTTCCTTCAGAGGACTGGCTTGTGGGTTTGAACCGCCAGCCTTCTGGTTAGCAGTCAAGTGCCTCAGGCTTACGCACTATGCTACCAGAGCTCCCGTCAAACATGTTAGGACACGATGAAATTTATACAGTTTCAAAAAGGATTTGAAAGTCAAATGTATCTAACGCTAGTTCCTGGTTTTGGCTGTAAATGGTGAAAGTCAGCAGCACGCTCATTTCATGAAGGCTGCATTAATCCACTCGTAGGCTTGATTCTAGGGAGAAGCCACTTGAAGCAAGCTTACCTGTGAATCAGGAAAGCAGTAAAAGGAAAACAGGGAATAGACATGATCAACTTTAAGCATCAGATGGTCACAAAAAATGAGAGTGAATCAAAATTTAAATGCACATTCTTATACACGGGAGGGCTTCTTCCTGTGGCTAGTTCAGCTGTATTTTAAAGACTTGACTATTTCACATAAAGGAGCTCTGGTAGCATAGTGGCTAAGACACTTGCCTGCTAACCAGACGGCTGGCGGTTCAAACCCACCAGCCACTCCTCGGAAGGAAGGTTGGGCAATCCTACTTCCGTAGTGATACTGCCTTGGAAACCCAAGGAGGGGTCGCTATGAGTCAGGGCCGACTCGACGGCACATAACAACAACAACAATTTCATATAAAAGAATTAGTCCCCTAGAACAGCCTAACTTCATGCTGAATAAATTTATCAACAAAGAGCATATCATTAAACTCTAAACTGGTTAGTTTGTTTAATTCTTAATGGAAAATTATGAAAACCTTCCCACAAAGAGGATGGTAGCTTCACAGATCCACGCCCATGTTCCCTGTGTCCTCTGAAGGTGGTCTGACAAATGGACTCAGAATTTACCATCAGATGGGATGTGTCTGATTGGGATGGAAACTATTATATAAACTACCACACAGCAAGAGGTAATTTCAGTCACCATCAACCAGGCACAGTTTCAAACCTAAGATCCGAACCAAAGTGAAAGGCCTTACACACACTGCAAGGATCACTCATCTTTGAAAGATGAAATTTATCCTGACAACAAAATTTAACATGTACTTCCAATTCTTCCTAATAAAATTTACTCTAAATTAGTAGCAGATTAAAAACTCTATAATTAATTTAGCACAATTTTGTCCCCTTTTTTCCATCTAAATGGGCTACTTTACTTCCTGGAAAATATCAATAGGCTATTACTCCTACCCTAGGACATCAGAATTATTGCACACCAGTAATTCATTTTTCCCCTCAATGACTTTCTCAATTGATTTCTTTTCATCATCTGTTTTATTCATTAAAATATGCTTTTCAAGTTAAAATGGATGTTTAAGGAAGAAAACAGAAACCCTTGCAAACAAATAAAGATTATTCATCTCATCTTGTCCCTCAAACATTGTTTACAGCCCAGTAGCTGAACTGAACCCATACTCCTACCATCTCGGCTGAAAATTCTCTCTGGCCCTGAGATTCTAGGGTTATTTTGAGTTCCTAGACTGCCAAAGGTCCCATATGCAATTTAATGATTTAAAATAAAAAAAAAAAAATAATAATAAGTTGCCATATGCAGTCACATCAAGCTACTGTGGAAGATGTGGGAAAACTGTGGCATCATCCATGACTCATCTCTGGAGGACCCTAAAATCTGGGCATTAAAAGCCTAAAATGGCATAGAGACGAGCACTGTGCCTTCCTACTTGATTGCTTAAGACCCAAACTATGCCATTTTTCTGGGCTCAGGTCACCTAGGTCTTTAATCATCTTCAATGGACTTCTAGGCATATTTTCTTACTCTTTTCCATTATGAGAGTTTTTGAAGGCTAGGACTGAAAGTAAGTTTCTAATCTGGCCACAAAACCATAGGAATTGTGCCAAAGGGTCTATTTTTCTGACATTCCTGCCAGTTTCCAGATAGCAGAAGTGAGAAGTCTTTCTAGGTAAGTACACTCACTTCTGAACCTCTAGCGTTCCTCTGTTCCTGTTTTGCTTACTGCAGATGGAAATGGACTGGAGAGCATCAACCACATGGTCCTAAAACAGCACAGTTCATATTTCCTAAATAGAGGATGGTAAGTGCTATTATAAATAGGCTTCTGCCCCTGAGTCAGTGGTATTCATGATCACAAATCAGGAGGCTGCCCTAGCAGCTGGTCAGAAGGCTGTCCAGCTCCACACACTCACACGGGCAAAAAGGTCCTGTCTGTACTGTTGCCCACTGGTGCTACATATGCCCTTTGGCACGTGCACAGCAACTCCGAGAGAGATCTAAAAGTCGGGAGACCAATAGAAACTTTAAGAAAGAAAAATAGACGAGCAAAGGATGTTTATTAAACTTTTCATGTTTGTATTTTTTTTCTGGGAGAACAAGACATTAAAAGTATATCTCTTGCGTCAGAAAGGCAATACAAGATTTATGAAAACAAAAACTCCAAAATCTCCCAAAAACAGGACTGGGAAGTTGGTCTAAGCAACAAAAGCAGCTTTTGCCTTCTACAGCAGTCCACACAACAAAGGCTGGGGCAGCTGGAGAGTGGAATTTATACGGAATGTTCTCTTTGATCCTTTTATCACTGAAAAGTATATTCACGTAACTAATTGTCTATCACTCAATACAGCTTGACTGAAATTGCTTACTTTTAAATGAAATGATTTGACCATAAAGCACCTACTAAGGTGAAAGGCACTGTGCTATGGGGACATGGGGAGGAGATCAAGTAAGACCCCAGCTTTGCTATAAACTAAACTAAAAAGAGGGAAAGTAAGGAATTATGTCTTCTATTTAAATTTACTTCAAAATAAATAAAAATTTATGTAATTATTTCAGAAAAGTTTTGTGCCCAGCATACTTCCAGGCATTTAGTATTTGCTTAAGTACATCAAAACACATATCGTATCTATAAATATTAGCAGTCAGAAGTATACTTTTTACCTAGAAAGACTTCTAGCTTTTGCTCTCTAGAAATAGGAAGCTTATGAAAAGAGACCTTCAAGAACAATTTCTATGTTTTTTATAGCCAGGTTACAAATAATGCTTTCAGATTGTTTTAGAGTCAAGAAACCACAGCCTTCAAACACTATTCAAATGAAAAAGTATAGGAAAATATGCCTACCAAAACCGAAACCAAACTCACTGCCATCAAGCCAATTCCAACACATAGCAACACCCTTTAGGTTTCCGAGTCAGTAAATCTTTACATAAGTAGATTGCCCAGGCTTTCTTCTTTGGAGTAGCCGCTGGGATTGAACCACCAATCTTCCGTTAGTAGTCAAATGCCTTAGGCACTATACCACCAGAGCTCCTTAAAATATGCCTAGAAGATTATTTAAGAAATGTAAGCCATTAAAGTTCATTGAAAACCAGTTGGTTTGTGTCCAGCAAATGGACCCTGTGTGTGTTGTTGTTGTTTGCTGCCATCAAGCCATCTCTGACTCATAGCGACCCCATGCACAGCAGAACGAAACACCGCCTGGTCCTGCGCCAGCCTCACAATCCCTGCTGTACTTGAGCCCATCATCACAGCCACCGTGTCAATCCATCTCCTTGAAGGCCTCCCCCTCTTTCGTCGACCCTCCACCCTACCAAGCATGACATCCTTCTCCAGGGAATGGTCCCTTCTGACAACATGACCAAAATAGGTGAGAAGAAGTCTGGCCATTCTTGCTTCCAAGGAGCATTCTGGCTGCACTTCCTCCAGGACAGATCTGTTAGTTCTTTTAGCAGTCCATGGTACTTTCAGCATTCTCCGCCAGCACCACAACTCAAAAGCATCAATGCTTCTTTGGTCTTCCTTACTCACTGTCCAGCTCTCACATGTATATGAGGCGAATGAAAATACCATGGCTTGTGTCAGGTGCACCTTAGTCTTCAAGGAGATATTTTTGCTCTTCAGTACTTGAAAGAGGTCTTTTGCAGCCAATTTTCCCACTGCTATATGTTGTCTGATGAGCTCTGGTAGCATAGTGGCTAAAGCACTTGACGGCTAACCAGAAGGCTGGCGGTTCAAACCCACCAGCCACTCCTCGGAAGGAAGGTTGGGCAATCCTACTTCCGTAGTGATAGTGCCTCGGAAACCCAAGGAGGGGTCGCTATGAGTCGGGGCCAACTCGACGGCACATAACAACAACAACATATGTTGTCTGTTATCTTGACTGCTGCTTTCATTGGTGTTGATTATAGAACCAAGTAATATGAAGTCTTTGACAACTTCAATTTTTTCTCCATTTATCGTGATGCTACTTATTGGTCCAGTTGTGAGCATTTTTGTCTTCTTTATATTGAGATGTAATCCACACTGCAAACTGTAATCTTCAACCTTCATCAGTAAGTGCTTCAAGTCATCCTCACTTTTAGCAAGCAAAGTTGTGTCGTCAGAGTTTCACAGGTTGTTAATGATTCTTCCTCCAAATCTGATGCCAAGTTCTTCTTTGTATAGTCCAGCTTCTCCAATTATTTTCTCAGCATACAGAGTGAGTAAGTATGGGGAAAGAATACAACTCTGATGCAGTCCCTTCTTGATTTTAAACCATGCAGTGTCCCCTTGTTCCATTCAAACAACAGTCTATATACAAATTCCTCATGAGTACAATTAAGTGTTCTGGAATTCCCATTCTTCTCAATGTTATCCATAATTTGTTATGATCCACACAGTGGAATGCCTTTGCATAGTCAATAAAACACAAGTAAACATCTTTCTGGTATTCTTTGCTTTCAGCCAAGATCCACCTGACATCAGCAATGATATTCCTCATACCATGTCCTCTACTGAATCCA